AATATCACGTTCGGACGTAAGACGCACCCAAAACTTCAGCCCATTTTTCTATGTAAAAAAATGTGTCTTATAGTCCGAAAAATGCAGTGAATGATATTTTGCGCATCGTTGTACTATTTTGTTGTAGACGGAAAGTTTCAAGCTGTACGATTGGGACTTAAAAACTTGCTATCAAAAATAACAGTTGTTTTTTGTGAAAAGCGCCGGAACGGATCCATTACTCTCTTTAATAATGAAAAATCTTATCATTTTCTATTGCATTGAATATATGTTTCGTTAATTTCTGTTACGCAATAGGATGGCTTAGGTTTAATCAGAAAGTCACGTTTAATAGATCTTTTATAATAGTCTTAAAATACGTTTATTAAATGCATTTTTAAAATAAATTAAAAACAAAAAACAATTGAGAATGAATTTGAGGAAATTTAAAAGAGAATCTCGTTTCTATTCTAATCTACTATAATTTCAAGCGTGTTTTCTATTTGTAAATTACGTCAGTTATTTCGATTATTTTTAAAGAGAAATTTTACTGAAATCTAACACTAATGCAAAAGGTGATATCTTTGCACCTTGTTTGCTAGTAGTCAAGTCACTAACAAATTTGCAAATTAACGATAACATAAGTTTCCAAATGTATTCGCAATATGTTTATGTTCGTTATTACTTTTCGTTGGTGTTTGCGATAACGGGCCCAAAAGTATACGAATGCGCAGACGTTAAAACAAATAAAAATATTACTATGGAACATGGTCTGCCATTAAATACCCTACCAATCGTTACATTGTGTTAAGCGAAATGGTGTACATTTTCAATTTACAAATTAATGCATTAGATGGGAAGTGGTCGAAATAGTGCTCAGATCTGGGAACCAATAGTATAGGTCTTTGGGCTAAACCATGTTCGCTCAAATATCTCTAAAACTTGCAATCTATAGGTTAAACGCAACAAAAGAAAACGGACAGACGGACAGACAAGCTTAAATCGAATCAGGAAGTGATTCTGAAGAAGCCGAGGGGAGTGAGGGTTCAGTCCCTTGGGCTTGGGGCTTAAACATCAGATTTATTGTTAATGTAAACGTATTCATTTCATAGCGAATGGAAAGTTGCAACGACTTTGTTGCATTTCTATGTATCGACATCCTATATGTAAAATCCATGCACTTGGGATACTTCACAAAGTAAATGAGACGCTTTTCTTTTGATCTTATATATATATTTCTATATTTTTTCTGACCAATTAGAGACTCTTAGCTGAATGTTGACCCAGATAATTTTTCTTATGCCTACTAAGAAAATGTCGCCTAATAACCTAAAGTTTACTCCTGATTTACTAATATCACCACTTTCGGTTTACCCAGCATGAAGAAGAATCAGAAGTGAATATGAAGCTACAAAATTACTTTGTAACATAAATGTTGAGGACGTTACTTTAATCCTAAGAACACCCTATACTACACGTTAGTAAGTGTTCAATTTGCACCGATGTATGTAATACACCGGAGTTAACTTAGACGCACTTTTTATCGTACCGATAGATTCGGAATCAATTTAAAAATGTCTTTTTATTTTATGTCTGTCCACATATAATAACCAAAAGGTAACCTAAGGGTATTATTATTATTATTATTATTATTATAAATTTAGCCAGAGAATAAATTCTAAAGCTAAAGTCTTAAAGCACTAGCATCTAAGGCTTTCGGCTTTATTAAAAACTCTACCGCACTTGAGATTTGAACCCACGACCATTGAGTTGCCAGTCGAGACTCTTGCCTACTCGGCCACTCAGGCGGAACCTAAGGGTAAAGTGAATTGGAAATCTTATATAAAATGTTCTATTGAAAAAGAAGAAGAAACATGCTATACCAGAGATATATGTAACCATTTTATTAACGTCTAGTTCACTGGATCATAAATTCAGGACCAAACATGATTCGTCCATAAAAGCGCCGAAAAGAATTATAAAAGGAAAATAATAATAACACATGACTTTTTTTAGGGGTAAAATTGGAATGAGATTAGCTAGCTTCACAAGAGTCGAACCGGAAGTAAATCTTCCTTATCGTCTCTCATTAGTTGAGCAGTAAAATACTCGCTGGGTAGCATGCATTCAAGATTCGCTCATAGTTGATTCTAATCTCTTGCTATTTATTTTACACGCGCACATCACATACATCCATTCTTATATACACCCCTATACCTTATTTACGTTATAATTATTGAGTAATATGAGATTTGAACGAAACCATTTGTGAGTAATGCACACATGCACACATCGATACATGCACACACAGAAAGACGCACACGACGAGTCTTTTTCTTTCTTATCCCTCTCGTTCTTTTCGTCTCCCTCTTTTTCACTAAATTGTTGTTGGCTCTCCAATATATATAGTAACCAGCTAAGTGGTAGTTAGACGTATCGTAAAATATGCCTCACACATAAATTAATTAAACCAAGAATTTTGTTGTTTCTCCTTTTTTTTCTTTTATTTTTTTCTGTTTTTGCGCTGTTTACTATTTTTAAATTGCTGAATCATTTCTTGAATACGAAATTAATTTCGTAATTAAATGTTTTTTTTTTGCCTTCGTTTTAAATAAAGTGAAATATTTGTTTATGAATGCGTGATTGTTATACAAACAAAATGAATAACTAAAAATATAGTTTCGTCGAGCATCCCACTCATTAAATACATAGAATTCTTTAGGTAATAAAAACTTGCCTTGCGTCTAACGTCTGCATACACTTAGTCGTTATCCATATGCATCAACTACCTGTTGTTGTTGTCTTCTTCTTTTTATCAGCAATCTTTCTCCCAAGACACATTTGTGCATCGATTTGTTTTTATTATTCGGATATTCAAACAAGTCTATTAAGTTCTATTATGAACAAAATACGGCAAACACACATTTCGAAAAATTCGCAGTCTTTTCGATCGATACTAATGGGCCTTTTGAACCAAGAATCAAAAAATTTGTATTTTAGAGGAAATAATGCCTGGTCGAAGGCGGGGAGTGGTCTATTAGATAAAGTGCTTCTTTCGAGACTGCGATCGTCTTTACACAAACTGTGTTCCAACATTGACAAGAGGTCAGGACAGAGGACAGAGGACAGAGAGGTTTGTTTCTAAATAAAACCTGAAAATGAGACGGAATAGAACACTGAACAACTTAGAGAGATAAAAAGGACGCACTCCCTTCTCGCTTAAAAGAACTTCTCTTTTTTTCCCCTTGATAGAAGAACTTTTCCTCGCGAGGATCACAAGGAATATTAGGCATTTCAATAAACTCGTTCGCACTCTGTTCCTCAGGAAAACAATAAAGACAACAAACAATGAACTAAGTAAGCTAACGGCAGAAAAGCGGAGGAAGTGTGCCGCCAAATCTTCACTCAGAAGAGCAGCTAATCTTGCCCTGTTTCGATTAAGGTGCTTGGCTAACGAACTGCAAGGAAATCAACAGTTAAAATCTGTAGACCCTTTACTATAACCCTTCCTGAGCTGGACGCAAACGATTCTTCACTAAGCATCCGCTATGGCTTTTATTATGATGAGGAAGAAGTTTCGGGTGTTACGAAAGAAGAGGAACGTAACTTAGAAGTCTTGCAAAAGTCGCAACTATCTATTGTTTCCACACAGACATAAATTCACTCGAAACGCATGAACATATATGTAAGGGCTTATAGATGTTATGGGCCAAATATGAAGTTATGAACGTTAAGCACCCGCATATTTTAGATGATTGCAATCTGTACTGTTACGTTGGAAAAAGCTCACCCCTTTGCCCCATCCAGCAAGCAAGAAGGCGGCGAGTGATTGCTGTCAGTCATTATAGAGTTCGCGCAAAATCCAAGTTGCTTTTTATTTAAAATTAAATCGAAATTGTTTAAATTTATTATGATATACCATGATCGCGTAGCGCTATCATGATTCATGGCTTTTATAAACCATAGTATGTCGTCATTTTTAAAGCTCTTATGTGACTATTCTTTCTGCAGCCCGAGCAAGGTTTTTGCTTGAGCCAAGTCTGTTGTGAACAGTGTTGCTTGTCTAATTATCTAAAGAAAGAAAGAGACAGCTTATGTTTAAGCAAATACTGTCGAGAAATAAACTGATGCCGATGCTTTTTAAATAAGACATAAGTTGAAATTTTTTTTTAATGCTACGAAGGAAGATAGGCCTATTAATTAACCCTTTGCAGTATTGCGTCGTTGTCAACGACGTGACAATTTTAGTATATTTTTGTGCCTTAAAGATAGTTAGTATAAGAATATTCTATCATTAAAAGACGCACGACTACTATTGCCTTAAAAAAGGAAATAGCGATGCTAGAGGAGCACGGAATATGTCGAAACAAGAGATCAAAGTAAATAAGCGAAAAAAAAAAAAAATTGTAAAACGTAGGAATATTGCAGTCAGCTCAGACACCTAATGGAATTGCTTGTCGCTCAAATTCAATTTTTATTCGTATATTATACGAACGGACCGACCGAGTAATCAGTCGAATTAAACATATCATTACATAGGGCGTATGTAAGTATATACCAGTTGTGTTTCTCTCATAACACGTAGGTAATGGCAGGTAGTAGTAGTGAGTAGTAGGGTAGCACGTGTAAAGCGCCCCAGAGCCAAAAAAATTTACCTCAAAGAACGGGTTCTCTGAACGGCTCGGCTGCAATAGTTTCTTCAAATTTTGCAAACTGATATCTAATACATGCTTCTTATCCGCCAAAGTTGGGAGTTTTGCCACCTTTCAGTTTACTCCGCAAAGTAAAAAAATCGGCTCAGTATTAATTAGAAAAATGCTGCCGCGAACTTGTTTACCATCGCACTTGTAGCGAATTGCATCTTTTTTCCCTTAAACGCATTACGACGGACTTTTTTCTGCCATAAATTTTGTTTTTTTGGAAAATTCGTGTCAAGTCGCTTAGGGTCAGTTAGTAAGATTTAACGAACGTTTTTCCTGTTCTCACTACTACTAGCTTCCGTAACTTGGTTTTTATTTTAGATTTTTGTCGTATGGTGGATGTGAATAATAGCACAAGCAATAATTCTTCAGTTTTGGGACTTTCGGGAGGTCATGCCAGTGCTACTGGTGCTGGGCCGGTTTCCTCTAGCGGTTTATCGATGAGTGGTAATAACGTTAATGCTGCTCCGGGTGGAGCGGCTACAATGACATCTGAATTGATGGTTACCGGTAGTGGACAAACAAGTGGCGATCGCCTGGATGCGTCTAGCGACAGCGCAGTAAGCTCAATGGGCTCGGAGCGCGTATCCTCATTATCCGATGGAGAGTGGGGTGAAGGCAGTGATTCGGCTCAAGATTATCATCCAGGAAAGTATGGCGGGCCATATGATTACAGTTATAATAGTTCAACAACGAACAGTCGTCTGCATGATGGCACCCGCCAACCACCCGTTGCTCAAAAGAAGCATCATATGTTTGGAAAACGTTTTTTGAATGAACAGCCTCCTGGCTCAAATGTAGCAGCAGTTGCCACTGCTTCTTCGGCCGCTAACGCGAATGCTGGTGTACTTCATGGCCCTGCTCAGTCCATTAAATATGAGTATGAACCGTATCCACCTGCAGTAGCTGGTCTACATCAAAATATGGGCAACGGGATTGAAAGCGGGGCAATAGCTCCAATATTAACGAACAAGGAGCATCATTCGTATGGCGGTGGTGCTTATTCACTTGATTTTTCTTTACGGCCACCCCGTACTCCGCAGGAACTTATACAACATAATCATACTTATACTTTGCCGCAAGGCTCCGGCTCTATACCCCGTCCTCAAGTGCGCGATAAGAAATCTATTTCGTCATCGACATCGATTAAATCAATAAAATCGACGAATAGCAGTGGCAGCGGTGGCGAAGACGATGTCTACATGACGCGCGACGAGAAGCGAGCACGAGCGATGAACATTCCCATACCAGTACCGGATATTATCAACCTGCCAATGGACGAATTCAATGAACGTCTCTCCAAATATGATTTAAGTGAAAATCAATTATCACTGATACGTGACATAAGAAGACGCGGTAAAAATAAAGTCGCCGCTCAAAACTGTCGCAAACGGAAATTGGATCAAATCTTGTCGTTGGAAGACGAAGTGAAACAAGTACGTCGTCGAAAAGACGAGCTCCAACAACAGCGAGACCGCTTCTTAACGGAACACAAAAGAGTTTCCAACAAATTCAGTGCACTGCATCGGCATATTTTCCAAGTAAGAAAATCTAAAATTTATTATTAAATTAAATTAAATAGATGATATTAATTAAGAAATTTATCGAATATTTAATTATTACTAATTCGCATTAATTGATGCTCATAATAGAAATTATATTGGCTTAATTAATTGTGTCTCAATTCAGTTAATCAGAGTTCAATCAATTCAAGTTGTCCGTAGTATATACTGTAATAATAGAATCGTTTTAATAGTTCTGATGTTGAAAAGCTGCAATTTCGGTTCTAGTGTAACAAAACGACTCAGTAAATAGCAATATTCACAGATTGTACGGCAAAACGAAAAAAAACAGAAAAATTACCCTTGGAATTGTAGATTAATAAACGCAAAAAAAGCCAAACTTTCTAGGAAAAAAAGTGTAAGAGAACTCTAGATAACCTAGGTAATCGAAATAGTCTTAAATGCTACCTAAGAAGCCTTCCACGTTGGTTTTGAAGGAGTTCGACTATCTAGGAATGATTCTACGATGATCTTAGGAAGTTCAAGCAGACATCAAACCTGAGGCGAACATTCACCTTGAGCAAGTGTTAGGAACGCTAGGAAAATGTTGCGCATTAAAAACACGAAGGTAGATTTCCTAAAACGAATTTTGATGTACGGCCTGAGAGGGCGCTGAGATTTTTGTTAAGAGCATTAAGACGCTTAGAAAAGGTTGACTAACGATTGAGGTTTTGGTCTACTAATGATGGGTTTCCTTTGTAGTCCATCGAAATACTAAGATCGTCGTATATTGATTTTAAATTGGCTTAAATGATTTTGTTAAACTTCAATGTCATTTCTTTTGCTTTTTAGTACTTGCGTGATGCAGATGGTAATCCTTGTTCAACGTCAGAGTACAGTTTACAGCAAGCATCGGATGGATCGATCTATTTGCTACCACGGGATACTAGCAGCAATAATAAAAATGAAGCTTTGACTAACATGAACGTTAATAGTGGCATATTGTCTTCAACGGTGAGTGCAAATAACAACAACAACAACAGTATCTTAGCGCCACACCAAATACAAACTTCAATGTCGGCTACAAATACGCATCATCAGCAACAGCATACAACGCAGGTAACGATGGCCCATAACCACTTACAGCAGCAGCAGCAGCAGCAGCAGCATCATATCCATCCTCATCATCAAACGCAACAAAATCAAGTGACAGCTACGGGGACAGTAGCACAAACTCAACAATCGACGCAAACTACCGGCAACGGTATTAGCGGAGCTGGTGGGGGTGGTCATTATCACCAACCGCAAAAAGATTGAAATTTATGGTGGCAGCATTGTGCAATGCATTTTTTTCGGCTGCATTCTTCGCACTCTGCGCTCGAACCTGTGACCGACATATGGACGCAGCAAAGACCACAACATTATTCTGAACATTATCATTATCCAATAGAAAATTATCATCAAAATTATCACCATCATCATCGTCATCATTACATACAATGTCGTCGCCAACATTATGAACATCAGTGTTACGGTTAGAGAGTTTTTTCTCAAGCTCTATCGCCAGACTGTCGTAATAACAAGCCTTTAAAGTGCAAAAATTGAATTTTTAAATTGATAAACGACAACGATATATATTTTTTTTGTTGCCTGCAGAGAAATGCGGCGTATTCTGTGTTTACTGTCCAATATTATTTCGCATTTTTTATTTTCGTTTAATGCAAATCAAGTGTATAAAAAAAAACTCCTCCTCCCTTTCTCCCTAGTTTATATCTTTTGTTGATGTGCTTTCAGCTATAGCTCGACACAATTAATTTAGGGCGAGGAGGGGTGGAGATGTGAGCTTGAAAATCTGCTCTCTACCATTTTAATTTTAATATATATATGAAAAGGGCATTAAAATCATTATATAATTCAGGTTAATTAAAGTAAGACTTATTGTTCTCGTAACAGCAGCAACAACAACAACAACAATCCTTACAAAATAATGTTTAATGAAAATTCGAAAAAAAAACAAACCCATCACCCTTAAGGAAAAAATAAGAAATTGAAAGATTATTGCTTAGCAAGCAACAACCTTATTTTACATAATCAACGGCAGATATTTACAGAAAAGTAAGAGTTTAGTTCTCGAGGCTTGAAAATGGAGCCTCGATGTTCGAAAAGAAATATTCATTTAAGTTTGCTTGGTTTGTCTCTAAGGCGTTCACATAAAATGCCAAGGGAATCGAGCGTCTCACATCATATTGGGTTATTAGCCAATTATAGCTTCCAGAGAGACTACATTTATAATTATAGCAATTATTTATTAACTAGAAAGAAAACTCAGATTCTCATTGTTGGCACGCATCCAGAATAGAGAATCCCGAATAGGGGATCCCGAATAGAGAATGCTTGTCAATGATGAGAAGCTGAGTTTTTCTTTCTAACCGAGGCAATTATCAAAATTTTAAAAATTATTCCTATAGAAGCTATAGTATATTGCTCTATAATATGTGACATGTTCGCTTCCCTTGGCATTTTATGTAACGTTTTGCAATTTCCCTTTCAATCCGTGTACATGAGATATTACAGCGCTTAACACTCTCCCTACTGCTGCTTGCTTTTGAATCAAAGCTTTCCCGCTGATCTTCTTTGTTCCGTTGCTTCTTAGTCCCAAAGTGTACTTCGACGATAACTCCCGTCATGCAATGAAAGGCTTGCTTCGACGATAAATTCCTCATGCAATGTTTACAAATGCATCGCCTCGATTAGATTTTCACTGCATTCTTTGCATGAGAAAAGCCCTTGGAGAACGTTGACATGCTTGCATGTTTCGTACTCTTTCCTGCTTTCGATCTGAAAATATTTAAGTACTTAAAACCAAAGTTAAATAAACTAAATACAAAATAATAAGAAACAAAATATAAAATATGCTGATCTTTAGTGTTGGCGTATGCTGATTTTAAAATAATCACATTTTCCTTTTTATTAAGTTTTTTATTAAGTTTTTTATTATTATTAATGTAAATATACATCTTTAGTTAAAATTATATATGAAATCTGTTAAATGTTTAATGTTTAAGTATTTAAATTGTGTTATTAGATCGAGAAAACGGAAAGAAGAATACGAAACATGTATGTTTACGTCGTCGTTCAAATCCTTGAGACGTCTGCCATGCAACATTTTCAAAAATCCAGTTTGTTGTAAACATTACATGACGGGATTCATTGTCGAAGCAAGCCTTGGGTTTTTATATCCCGCAGACTGTGAAGGGAAAGGCAAGTCGGCCAACTTTTCCAATAATTCTACTGCATTGTTTGCCCAAGAAGAGTGCTTCGTCCGTTCACGGAGATGCAACCCCCGTATTTTATATGTTATCATAATAATCTTCAATAATCAATCAATAGTGTTCAATAATCTTAAAGATGTTGTAAGAAACTCCATAGGTTCGAAAACCCGTCGTTGCATCAATGACAATGTACATCAGAAATGTGGATTAAAGTAGACACATCCATACTGTCTCTTCACGTGACATATATTAAAGAACCGATATAATTCGTCTCATGTTTCCCTAAGGCGGTTAAGTCGCTCATCTTAAAATTGAACTTTTCCCAACTTCGGTCAAAAAAGTAATCCTATAGTCTAATAGCTGCAATGCAGCTATACACACAAAGTGACACAATTAGAATAGATTTTTTTCTCACAGAGAAAGGTCCGAACGCATAGACCGCCTGTATTATATAACAACTATCACTCTGTAGCCAATGTGTTGGTGTCTCTTTACAAAGACAAGTATGAAACAATAAAATCACAAAAATAACAAAAACACTAAAACTTTAGCGTATTTACACTATGCACTTATCTAATAACGACGAAATAACTTCTATTCCGTTGTCTGTAGACAATTTTTGTTCCATTAATAATAAAATAAGTTCGGAGCGACAAAATTATCGTGGAATAATCACAAATTGCAACCGTTTCGAAGGAAAAGTGCAACATTTTAGCACATTTACACTATCCGCTTACCCAATAAAAATGGAAAAACTTCTATTCCGCTAATTTCTGTTGCATTATTAATAAAATACGGTAAGAGCGACAAAATTACCGCGGAATGATCGTAAACTGCAATCATTTGGAAGGAAAACACCAACACTTGCCCGTTTCCGGCGTGCTTACTGCTATCGCTCATTTCTTGAGATATATTCATATTGTATTCAAGCTTTCTCGATAGAGCTCCTGATGAAATTTCTTCAAGCCATCCGGAACGGGGGCCGGAAAAAGAAATGTAGTAGGATATGCTCTTCCACTGTATATTTTTATGAACTTTTCAGGGAATTTTTAAATTAACAAACAGGGAAAGTAGAAAAAAAATGCAGACCAAAGAAGATCGGAAAAGCGGCGAAACTTAATTAAAAACTCCGTTTTCTCCAAACAATTGCTTTTAATGAGGCTACCAATTCCGCCCTTTTTTTCTAAAGAAATTGGTGATTTTTTTGGAAAGAAATGGAGGGAAACAAACTGATGCGTAAAATAGTGCAAGCTCTGGCAGTGCAATAAACTGCAGGAACAGCTTTTACGAAGAGATGAAGGAACGCTTAAACGTAGCTAAGAGAGTAAAAAGCTTATATTTTACTATCTGTCTTTGTATGTATCTGTATCGAGCTAATGAACAACGTTGATCCATTCTCTCTTCGCAAAGTTTTCCCGACAATTTTGTTTGATTGGCAGAGAGCTTGTAAAACTTTAGGCAACAGTTTACTTTCCTCCACTTTCCTCCTCCCTCAAGAAAAATCTGCAATTTCTTGAAAAAAAAAAGAAAAAGAAAAATGAAAGCAAATTTTAATCCACGCACAAGAAAAATGTATTCTCGTTCTATGTTTTATAAAATGTAAAGGGGCAGCTGAGTTTTTTGTTGAAACCGTTAAGAAGAAGAAAATTTGAAAAATATGATTCAACTAAACTGTTAATAAATAAACTTTTGCATAATTTCGAGAGAGATATTGATGTAAAATAATTTTCTCCTTTTTTTTTTTTTTATTAATGGATTTTGAAGATGAAAGATTGCTTGCGTGATGGGTACTACAAACGTATATACGGCTTCTGCCCGTATTTTTTTTTTTTTTTTTTTCATTTTATTTACGGGTGTTTATATGTAAATATATTTTTAATTTTATATATTAATTCGTATATATATATATATATATATAATCCGGCTTTTTCAAACTTAGGTCTTTGAATATGTTAAGGTTTTTTGGATAACGGATTATTATTGTGAGATTTTTTTTTTAAAAATAATATTTATATCGTTTGCCGTTTCGTGTGTCAAAAACGAAAACACTTATAACTAATTGTGATAACATATTGCATTAATTTTTTTTTCTTTTCTTAATATTTTCTAAACACTAAAAAGTTTAGACTAAAATAAAATCGATTCTTCTCCGGGTGCATGGACCGCTCGACAGTTGTAATATGAAATGGCGGCGTTTTCTTCGACTCTTCTCTCTCCCTCATAAATTTTCTTTCGAATTAGTCAGGAATTCTCCTTCTGCTTCTTCTCAGTAATGTTTCCTTTTCCATTTCATTTTCATTTTTTTTTTTTTTCGGGTGGGACGCGGGGTTTATTGCTTATTGCATATATTAATTACGTAATTCTACAAACTAGTTTATAAAGTATTTTAATTATAAACACATAGCTGTATAGATATACGTACGTTTATCTTTTATTTAGTTTATCTATCGCATTATTATAAAAAAAAAAAAAAATTATTTGTCTTATTATTTTTGTAATTAACGCCTAAAAACCTTCGAACTATAAGAAATTTTTGTAAATATTTATCTTAACAGCAAAAAAAGAAAAGTTTTTTTGTTTTAATTTTAAAGCTATGATAAAATAAAATTAAATAAAAAATATAAAAAATAAATAAAAGGAAATAAATAAAAAAAATTTTATTTCTTAGTTTTGTGTGGAAAGCAGGAAAAAGGTGCACAACATCACTGTACCAAACTCGATCAAAATATCTCGAATACCGGCTCGCGCGAACAATTCGGATATTATGTTTGTTAAAAAACCATTCGCGTAATTTGAAAAGATATCGAAACTTGTACTCGTACGTGCCTTACTTATGTCTTGCTCGCAGATATATTAACAAGAACTTACTACCTACGGGAACTAGCATATCTTTATAAAAAGAAAAAAATTACTGAAGGTACACTTTTTGAGATCTGCGTCCTCTTATTCGGGATAGGTGTAAGTAGATATGTTGTGCAACTAATTTTCCGGTTTTCTTTTCAACTTGTTGCCGTCCATCATATTAACTATTATGTTACTTTACCATTTAGGCAGAAGAAGAAGTTCGTGCGGGAAAGATGACCCCATCTACTTTCCTTTTTCTGAGTATCGTCTCAGGTGAGAATGGAAGTCCTACTTAAACAGACAATAACACATCGTTTATAATAATACATCGTTTTGTTGCACATGCTAACTCAATCTTTCCAATGTTTCTCGAACTCCGTCTCACTCACGATGTCATGATTAATGCGATTATGTCTCATCATAAGTGAGGTTAGTTGCTGGTGGTAATGTTGCATTCGGCAGAAGCAAACCGAAATACGCGCCTTCCATTTGACTCCGCTAATCGCCGTTGATATTTAGCTTTACCGTTAAATTCAAGTTCGCCTAGTCGATGCTTTGGCTATTTGGCTTTTAAATATTGTAACGTATACATTGCCTATCGTCCATTGCCTATCGATGTAGCAGCACTACATTTCAAATTAAGCACGAAAAACAATTTATCATGTTTGGTTTCTGTACATCTACGTTTTTAGGAACGATGTGCGATGTGCTGGTATCGCGGCCGGCTATTTATTGTTCACAGACGACCAAGCTGTAAAAACTTCGTATATACCTAGCGTCAGTAGCGTCATCTCAAGTGTAAAACTCGGTAATTCAGTTGCGCATCCGATGCACGTATGTGTGTTCGAGTGCGTATTTTAAGTCACCAATGCCACGTGTGTAATCTTGATTGCCTTGTTTTGAAATTTGAAAATTTGTCTTTCGCTGAATGCTAGAGGGCAAAGCCTATTCTTCCCCTTTTAGTGGACATTTTTAAGTACTTCCAATGCAGTTCCGGATGTATGCGGTCCGATTAGTTAACGAAGCGCAACAATAAAAACCTATAGCGCTTCGCGTTTAACGACGAATAGTCTCTTCTTTCTTATGAGGCTTCGAAATCATATTTAAAACAATTAAGAAGCAAGTTAATGCAAAATCTACTATAAATATATTTGGGATCCACACTTTACACACTCCAGCAAATAGGCAAGAACGTTTAAATATCTTGTTGATGTCACTATGAAATCTTGCGAAAATATTTCGTATTGTGTTTTCTAAAAGCAAAGATCACCGTCACCTGCTAGTTGACACACGTACAATTACCACCTATATATAAAAGCCGAGGCTGTCGTGTTCTTCTTTCCCAAAGCATTTAATTTCCTTTATGGATGCTATTCAAAAAAAAATAGGCTTGTGAACGGAGAAAAAAGGGCGACCACAACCAGACGTTTGTTGCAATTAAAAAAAAACAATGAAAGGGTTTTAAGACAACTATGAAAGCTATCGTAGTCGCTCCACAATGAATATTGTGGTTTCAAGCAACTGTGTATTAGCTGCGATATTCTAATGAATTAGTTGTAATCACAACTGCCTTAGTAAACATTTCAACCTAATTCAGGATGATAATGTAACATAAGATAAACTACGATTTGCAGTTTATTTCCAAATATGCAATTTTAAACGCTTAACGATTATTAAGGAACCTGCGCCCTGAAATTAACTCAAAAAATTCGCGAGCTTCACAAATGCAAGCGGCACGACGTAAGTCTCTTATCAAAAAACGGATATCTTTTGTTACCACACCACTTGTGTTACAAACGCAGAAGGGCACAAGTTTGTGCGGGTATATGCAACACCACAAGGTCTTGAGGTACACCCATCTGTCCGTCTTGTTTACTTGCTTTTTGAGATATTTTAATGAAATTTGTGGACGACGTATTTAGGTCGAAGAACTCGCGTTATTGAAAATGTCTCGGAATGGATAGCTTTCGATCACTTCCCATATAAACACTTATTTTGAAGAGCCGTTATATAAATAACAGTATTAAATGAAGTGATGCAAGGTATTTAATTATGAGCTATGTCCCTCAATAACATTTTTAATTGCTTTTTGTTATCATTATTAAAATGTATTATTTCAAATAAAAATTTCAATTTTAAAATGAATATAATAAAAAATAAAAGCTAAAATCTTTTATAAATTATTTCCTATTCTAAGAGTAAATTCTTTTTTAAACTTAGTTGCTGTTTCGACCTTAAGAGAAAAGTCCCGTGCGTCATTTAGCTGTTTAGCTTAAAATTCATTTTCCTTAAAATCGTTATGAAGTGACAATATATCAATGGCTATATTTAGGCGCAAGCTATAAAGAAGCGTCAGTTACTTTGCAGAATGGAACATTTGAAAATTATTATCCAGTTACCGAAGACCATTTCTACCACTTTTGCATTTGAAATATTTCCTACTCTTAAATTTTTAGAACTTCAAATAAAATGCTTTTACTTTCTCTCAAAGTTTTCTATACTTTCAAAACAAATGCTTTTATTCAAAAAATGTGAATTTATCCGATCGGATATCACTATCGTTCACTTTTATGTCATTGTTGTCCCTTGATAAATGTGATAATTTTGACAAAAAAGGCTTGTGATTTATCAATAACAAAAAATGCTTAGCTGTTATTAGAGCGTTTATAGAAATGTCCCATTTTCCACGTTGCGTGCTAAATTGTTTCGAAAGTTTGCAGAATCTAATCAAGAATGTATTTATTATGTATTTTAAGAGGTCTCTAATGCCAATAATACGATATATGCCCATAAAGCAACTTTAAAAGGTTTTCGAAGCGTGAAAATGTTCGGGTGAAAACTTTTGTTTCCTTGATCGGATGATAATGTGTTTGGCCTTCTATTTAGCACTTTATAGTGATGTTTTAAATGTATGCTTGCGGATTTCGAAATTTTTCGAACAGCCAACAAGAGGGCGTAACATATCGTAAAAGCCGCTTTAGAACTTTGATCAAAGTACTAAAGTCTAAAGTAGGGACTTTGCTTTGAAAAAGACTTAATAAAACTTTCATCAACCTTTACAAGTCCCCTCCAAAGCTTATGTTACCATACGAGTTTGATTTGAATGGCAATTATATGAATATATTGAATTTTAAAATATATATATAAAAAATATTAAAGATTATATGAAGAATTTGAATAAATGTCAATAAAGAATATTACTTACCCCTCTTATTTATTTCAATCACACCGTTTTGAAGTTTAATTACAGTTTCTGGAAGAGTTTTACATCTTTTATTTTGAACGTAGAGAAAAAATTATTAACACAATCCGAATGACGTATGACAACACAAGGCCCTTGCAAGAAATTTTCCTAACATTTGTTAGCGAACTTATTAAATTGCGCATTTCTTAAAACCTTTACGTACATTTGAACAAAACAACAATAAGCGAAAAAAATGCAATTTTGGTTGAGGACTGCGCTTAGACTCCCGCACATATGCTTTCCTATCCTTTTCCATTGTAAGCGTCCATTATACCTGCAAAGAATTTATAAAAAAACTTCAAAACGCTATAGCAAAGGCCTTCTTTAAAAAAAAGTTAAAAACCTTTACGCCTAGCCTTTAGCGTAATTCATATTTCTGAGGATTTTCTTAAAACAATTTTGTCATAGCAAATAAGGCACAATATGAACAGCCTATTGCTGCTTTAGAACTTTTTAATATTTTTTTTTTTTGCACGTATTATTCAATTGAATAAAAATAACTCATTAAAAAGCAAATTTCGTACACTTTTTATTTCTATATAAACTATATATAATTGAAAACAGTTTCATTAATTTGCAGAGAATTTTATATTTTTTTTTTTTCTTGGTATGTTGAACAGAAATGGACTAAGCCAATAGATTTGTGGCTTATATGTCCAAATAATAAATTGTTGTAATTTTTGGTCACAATTATGTACCAAAATGTAACAAAAAACGAGCAGCCGTAATAACTGCAGCCAGCATGTTAAGTGTAATTGTGTATGTGTGTGTAATTGTGTTTGTTGAGTTCTTGAAAGTTAAACAGTGTTGCAAACTTTGGCTGAAAACGAAAAGCAATGCTATAGTAATAGAAGATTATTAAACCCAAAAACGAAAGAAAAAAAAGAAGAGAATTTTATAAAAGCGTAAATTTTAATTAAGGCTTTCCGCTACCTAAAGCAAACGAGATCATGTTTGCAAAAACAGTGTTGCGAAGATCAAAGCATTACCCCTAAGCATGCACTTGTTTTCCGCTAGTTTGTCTAAAAACTAGCAAATGCACACGCTTTCTTATGAAAGCAAGACGTTACGTATGTATAACAGTTTAAAATTTTTACAGCTTTAAATTTGACTACGGAACATTTGCAAATGTTTGAAGCTAATGTTGACAAAATCCATTTTTGTTACATTTTCTTTTCATTCAAACAGAGAACGAAGTATTTAAAAACTATTACCCACTTTTCAAAACCACTTTTATCGTTTCTTCATTGTAAAATAAATATTTCTTACTTTTAATTTTAGATAACTTTAGATGAAACATTTTTCCTTTCCCTCAAAATACCCGATACATTCAAAACAAATATTTTACTCAAAATATATCAATCAACCCAATCACAAACAAATTTTAAAATAATTTGGGAGATTAAAATGACTCGGGGGCAAGGTTTAGATGGCACTATCGATCGATGAGAAAGAGGAAATGAAATTGATATTGAATTTTCATGTAATGGGAAGTGGTACAAAAATATATATATTTGGAAACAATTTCATTAATTTGCAAGGAATTTTATTAACGCGCACTTCTTAGTAAACTTTCCATTATCTAAGGCAAACGAGATCATGTTTGCAAAACAGTGTTGCACACATCAAAGTATTCTACCACAGTGTGCGATTGTTTTCCGTTGCTTTGTCTAATATATAGCAAATGCGCACGCTTTCTTATGTAAGCAAGACGTTACCTACGCATTACCGTTCACAATTTTTACAGTTCTAAATTTGACTACATATTCAGGGCAATGTTCAATTTATGACGAAAACTTCACTTTTATTATATTTTCTTTGAATAAAAAAAAGTAAAAACTAACAAAAAAAAGGAAAATAAAAAAAAAATTGAAAAATACTATAAAAATTTAAAAAAAAATATGTAAATAATGCAACAAAAAAAATTTTACCCTCGCCTAAGGATTTGAAATCCAACGACAAAACAAAAAAAAAATTAAATTTTTCCTATTCTCGCGAAACTAATGGGGAAGCTGTGCTGTTGCAATGATTGATGCGGTTGCCGTTTCATTTTACTGTACAAGAATTGCCAAGCTGCGTACGCCTTTTAATGGCGTTTTTTCCGAGTTGTCGCCTTGACCAAGGTACTAATATTGCTGATACTTGGCATTTTAATGGGTATTTTATTGTTACTAGTGTCATCTGTAGAAAATTCTCTATCCAAATACACCTTACGTACTTGCAATTCAGTACTATAACTCATTGTTGCAATACGTTAACCCCTAAGTACGTCAAATTGCACATCAGGCATTAAAATTTTACTGGGGTCGATTACGTTCGCAGCAAATTGGGTATATCTACACGTGGCCGTTTTTGTCTCTGTCAATTTTTTGCAATCCGTTGATCGCTTACAGAATTGCTAAAAAAAACAACAAGAAGTAGAAATCGCACTCCATGTTCTATTGAAGCACCCTCACAGTATTGTCGAGGGCGACCAACCGGCGTATGAGACATTAAATTTATGGGATTTTAGCGATGCGGTGTACTTTCTGCCTTCCTTGAGGCGTAGACTTTGAAGTAAAAATAACAGCATGACATTAGAAAATATAATGCCAGACAAATTGGGAACCAGCCTGAAATTATTATAGGAAAAAGTTAAACTTTAAATTTTGTATAAGAAGAAGATTTCAGAATTTATAGATGATGCAAATGCCACCAGGTTTTCAATGGGTTGAGTCTATTTTATACATTTTACATTTATTATTCTGGTTAATTTAAAATTATTCTATGTTCTTAATCTTCTAGACATTGTGCAAATAACACTTAGTTGAATTTTCTTATTATGTTTTATAAAATTTTTCACTTAAGTTATATGAAAAAAGCAATGTATTTTAAATTGATTTGATCCTCGCATCTTAAATGTAATGGATGAAGATACGCGTTTCTTACAAATTTAAATTATATACAAGCGACTACGGTTTGTCTTTATTGATACTAAGAATTTTATTGGTTACCGATTTAATGTAACTCTTACTTCGTGCTATAAATTAACGGTATTTATGTCAAACGTAAATGTTACGTAACTTGACTAACTGACTGACTGAGTGTATAATTGTTTAAAGAAAAGCACGCGCGCGTTACCTTAATCTTAAATTTTAAAAACTCCCTCTACATCGTTGCGATGCAGTTACCTATCGCTCACTATTTATCTGTAGGCTTTATCGTCGGAATATATGATATATGGCTGATTATTGGACAAACTTGAACTAGTTTGCTGATGCTGAGGAGATGATCCTCCAAAGTACGACATTCTAGATGAATAGGTGGCTTGTTGTTGCTGCTGCTGTTGTTGCTGGTGTTGCTGTTGTTGCTGGTGTTGTTGCTGCTGCTGCTGTAGTTGTTGGTGTTGTTGCTGTTGCACTTGTCGTGCTGATAGGCTTTGAGTGGACTGATGTATGGACGGCGGTTTATGCGGTAATGTAGCGTAATTTTGAGCATAAGGAGGTACGGCGTAAAGGGCAGCGGCAGCCGCTGCTGCTGCTGCGGGTGTACTTTTATAACTTATCGGCACACTGCCGGGTCCCATAGGTAACGGCGGTATTCCAATCATAGCAGGTCCATTATGATATTCAATTGTACTCATCCGCAGACGTACAATGCAGATGATAATAATCAAAATGGCTATAAAAGCTACAACGCCACCTACAATGCCAATAATTAATGTGTCATCATTGGTCATGATGGGCGGTTTAGCTTTGGTTTTGATTTTCATATGAGGTATTTGCGTGGGTTCCATACTCCATATAATCATCGGCGGCTCTTCTGTTGTTGTTGTTATTGCCGGACGTGTTATCAAACGTGAAGATGATTTTAATACAGTGGTACGACTTGTAGTTGAAGTCATTTTTCGTGGGTCGCAAGTAAGCTCGTCGTCACCGATTTCTATCAGTTTTTTTCCTGCTAAATATGACGGAGACTGACAGACTATTGCGGGCATATGCGACGTTGGTAACCATCGTCGTAAAGCTCGAGCATTGCAATCGCAGTTAATAGGATTCGAGGCGAGACCCATCAATTTCAAATTTGTACGTCGATCTTCTAATGCGTTCAGAAACTGTGGCAACAAAACAGACACTTTTGAACCTTCTATATCTAGGGTAAGGTGACTGGACCGTGGTACTGGAAATAGCAGAGCGGGTGGTAATGACGTCAAGGAGGTATTTTGTAATTTTATGATCAAATCACTGCTTTTCAGGCCCGCCAATGTACTTGAGGAAATACTTTTCACTCGCTCCCCACGAATACCAATTGATTTAAGACGCGGATGCTTGGACGGTTGAATTTGTTCGGTGCCTATCGCCGAATCTTTAACTTCGATATCGAAATATTCCAAACCGGGCAGTAAACCTAAAATGCCTTGTAAATCCAAGTAGCCCAATAGAGGAAGATTGTAAGCTTCCAATCGGGCCAAGTTCGGCATATGACGAAAAGCGTTTTTCTCGATTCGATTACATTTAGGTAAGTCTTTTAACTTCAAGGTTTTCAACATTTCGAGGTGCTGGAAATTGCCCTGAGCTATAACATCGAAACTGTTATTCGATAAATCCAAGTGATGTAAAACTTGTAATTTCGGCCAAGCTGCAGTTAAGTCGGATAAATTTTCTAATTGATTACCGGATAAATCTAATGTTTCGAGCAACGTTGTGCGCTGAAAGATTTCAGCTTCTATGGATTTTAATCTGTTATGCGACAGGTTCAAGTATTGCAGGAACGGCGTTTCTAAAGGTTCCAAATGCTCTATACCCGTAGCAGCCAAATTCAATTCTCTTACAGTTTTGGGTTCATTTAGAATATTGCTGACCGCTTCTTCCGAAAGAGGATTATAAGATAAATCTAAATTTTTTATATTTACCATCATACTGTCATCAGCGGGTATAAGCTTAATCTTATTATGACTTAATTTAACCGATGAAATGAAAAAGTACTGGCGTTGCAAAGCTTTGAGCGGTGCGTATTCGAATTCATTGCCAGCCAAATTGATATTCTCGAGCATTTGCAATTTCGAGCGTTCAAAAACCGTATCGGAAAGTTCGTTTAATAAATTATGTTCGAGATTCAATAGCTCGAGTCTTACTAATCCCTCAAAGGTACGTTCGCCAATACGATCAAGGCTGTTGTGAGATAAGTCCAATACTTGCAATTGTGTAGAATTGTGAAAAGCCATTTCACTTAACATATCCAGTTGATTGTGGGCTACCATTAGCACTCTTAAGCGAGGTAAGCGGGCAAAATCCAATTCTTCAATGGTTTTCAATTGATTATAGGACAAATCGATTTGCTCTAAATACTGTAACGATGATATTAACTCAGCCGGGAAAAAACTGAATTTGTTATGGGCGGCCAAAATGATTCGCAAACGAGGATGTATACGGAATGAGGAGGGAAATAAGTAACTGAGATGATTCAATGATATATCAAGTTCCTCCATGCCGGTACCGGTATTAAAGAATTCACCCTTGAAAGCTGATAATTGATTTCCCCGTAAATTCAGTCTTTTCAAATGCATGACATTTACAAATGCTCCCGGTCTTATCGACGTAATTTGATTATGTGACAAATCGATGGTACTGATGTTCCATAGGTCTACAAAACTCCCATCATTAATTTCTTGCAAATTATTCTTGTTCAAGTAGACATGTTTTAAGTCTTGTAAGGCGGCAAATAAATCACCAGATAATTGCTTGAGAGCACAATGACTCAAGTCCACAATTTGTAATCGCAATAGAGGTTTAATTAGCGAAGCAGATATCGGGGACAAATGATGATTACCGCTTAAGTTTAGATATTGAAGATTTTCCAAGCCTTCAAATATATTACGGGGTAATTCCGCTAAAGTGTTTCTGCTTAAATCCAAACTACGCAATTCTGACAGTGATAAGGGTGTATTTCCCAAGGCCGTTAAACGATTTTGTCCTAATTTCAATTCATTCAAGGATGTCTCCAAACCCATAAATATATCCGCGCTTAATGTAGCCAAAGAATTGCCAGACAAATCCAAAGAATGTAAATTGTTGAACATGTGAAAACTACCCGCTGGTAATTCCCGTATAACATTGCGGGATAAAGTTAATGTAGTTATATCCGAGGCTTGTATTGAACCGAGAATTTCCGATGATAAGGCGGCCACGCGATTAAAGTCCAAATGCAATGAATTCAAATGCGTTAAACGTCCCAATGCACTGCCCGGTAACAACAAGATATTATTATCACGTATAATTAACGTTTGTAGATTTTGTAAACCCTCCAAGGCGTCATCTTCGATCTGAAATTGAAATTTTATGATTATCCCCTTTTTAAACTCAATCGAGATCATTTTAGTGCGATTACCGTTCTCAGTGAATTTAGACTCAAATCCAAATATCTTAAGGCTGTCAGATCTCGGAATGTTCCTGGTGGAATTGTCGTAATACCATTACGACTTAAATCTAATATTTCTAACGAACGCACCACTTCCAAATGACTGTAATCCAAACGCTAAAATAATCATATTAATATCAATTATTTGCTTAAACATTTTAATTATGGTTAAGATGACCTTACTTGCAACATATTCGATGATAAATTCAATGCTTTCAAATTGCTGATGGCATTCAAAGAAACGATTGGAAATTTCGGGATGAAATTCTCAGATAAATCCAATTTTTGTAAAGTCGGTAAATTTTCGAAAACATCGCTATTTAAATTTGTGATCCGATTACCGGCCAACTTGATTTCCTTGATTTTACGCAAACCTTTGAATGCTAAACCTTCGATATTTTTAATATCGTTATAGCGTAAATCGATAATTTCCAGCTGCGGCTGAGCAATAAAAGACTCATATCGTAAGATTGCTAAAAAGAGATAAAAATTCTTTATTTTTTCAAAAAAAATTGAAGCCATTTTCTTACTTATATAGTTATGTCGTAGGGAAAGATGCCTTAGTGCTGAAGGTCCATTTAAAGAGTGAGACGGGACCACGGTAAGACTATTACGATCCACATAAAATTCCTGCAAATGAGAAAATTTTTCTTTTATTAATTTAAATTAAACTTTTCATTTAGTTGGTGGAATGAGATATGTCTTTCCCCCCCTATCTTAGTGACAAGAGAATTCTAGGCTTTCTATGCTAAAAATGATAATACTAAATTACTTTAACTTAACCTCAAATTTAATATTTTCATTTTTGTTCACTGCAAGAAATCGTGACATATGATTTTTCTATTTACGCAACTACACGCAACTACATGCAACTACACGCAAAGACGCGCACGGTGTAGGGTGACAAGTACACTAATTTAATAGCATTAAATTAGAGAAATCAATGCACAGAACAGAATAATTTAATATAAATATCTTTTTATTAGAGCTTTGTCTTCACGTCTACTGTCTTTTCGCTTTCCCAACAGGAGAGGAGAGACGTAGATTCTTCATCAGTATCAAATTTTGAAACGATCTAAGCATGTCCGTCCATCCATCTGGACGAAGGTAAACATTTTGTTGCTCGTAAAAATGAAAAATTTCAAATTTGGCAAAACCTTTGGAAACTCTTGCACGTGGAATGATATTGAAAGCGGACCAAATCGATTAAAGAACACCCCTATAGCACAACATAAATCGAGAACTTCTCTATCTTATCTATGCTACAGCATCTATATAAAAATGGAAAACTTTTCCATTTCACGTCCATCTGAAAATGTAAATATCGAAATTTAATTTTTTCCGACTATTTATACGCTACACTACTTGTGGTACAATTATATATAAAGTTTGTGTGGCTGTATGCAACACTCACAAGGACTTGAGATTGACCCACCTTTCATTATATCGATCGGAATCATTTTCTAAATCCGTCTAAATCTTATCTATCCGTCTGTCCGCCTTGTTTCCTTTTTTTCAATCTACAAGTCGCAAGTTTTGAGATATTTTGATGAAATTTAATACGCTGACGTCTTTTGGCCCAAGGATGAAAGCTATTGAAAATGATTTAGATCGGACCATTTTTTCGGCAACTTGCATTAGAAATAAATTGCAATTTTCAAAATTTTTTGGCAAACCACGTTGTACAATAACCTTGCGATATTCCAAATTGGCACATATCCTCCTGAATTTGAGCGAAGTACGTATATTTTTTGGATACCACCGCTTATAAGGACTCTCGGGAAGTGTAAACTCTTTTATGCCAAAAAAGCCTAATTGTTGATATTCTATAATTAAAATTTGTTCGTGATTGTCATTTGGCATAAAAATTAAGTGGACAAATTTTAAACAACATTTGCCTGGCACTTTATGATGAAAACTGGTCTAGAGCAGAAATTTAGCAAGAAAATTCTCAGTATGGAATTTGTATAACAATGGGCTCTTTTTTAGATCCTAAAAGATATAAGAAGGGTTACCGTGATAAGCAAGCCTTTATATGGAGCAAAAGGAAAGTGAAAAATAATAAAATTTTTGGGAAGCATATTAAATTTACTAAATTTGGACAACGTTGTGTGGGGGGCTTTGATTGCAAGTACGACGTTCCATGAAAATAATTTCTAATTTTCAGGCTGAGAATGATGGGTGTAGAAAATTGAACCCCACAGTTGAATGTAATTTTCTTAGTTTGTTCTTTTTTTTTTTATATACAGATGAGTACCGAAGGCCCAATATGGTTTTCCTCTAGCCGACCCTAGTTCTACCACGACAGGCACAGGCTATTTATATCAACAAAGAAAGCAAGGCTAACTCTGGTCTGTTGTGTTTTCTTACACGCTAACATTTCTATTTAGTTCGAAAATCGTTTTCATTTGATAAACCTGCCCGCCGGTGCATGTCAGTTAAGTGCCCATTAGAGCTGTTTAAATGTTTACACTTTTATAAATTAATTTCGAATCAAAAATTATGCCATATTTTTATGGCACAAAAGCTTGAAATATCTAAACAGAAAACAGAAAAAAAAGAAACAAAGACCAAAAAAATAATTCTGTTATGGTATTTTAATGTACAAATTTATATTAAATGGTGTTAGTTAACTCAATACGATACCGTGTAAAGAAAATATTTTACTTAAGATTACGAGTAAAAATTCCAATAAATTAAAAACAGACAAGCAAACACACTAACAACAAATACAACGAAATGCCTTAAAACAACATTTTTTCAAACCATAACTCAATGAACTCGTGTGTGTGTGTGTGTGTGTGTGTGTGTGTAAAAAAAGAGAAAAATAAATCCTTAGGCTGAGGTGAATTTTCGATGCTCTTTAGCTATATAAATACATCTCTGGTTTCATTATGTCAGGTTATTAAAATTCCTTTTCATATATACTTTAAATGGCCTTCCTTTTTCCTATGCGTTTATAAGGTTAAACCGGGCAAGTCGACATCAAATAATTGTTCGAAAGTGGTCTTATCTGAAATATCTCCAACTGCCTTCGTTCTTGAATCGAAACCTATCATCCTTCAAATTTCATCGAAATGTCTCAAAATTAGACCATATGTGATAATCGTTACTTAGTAGACTTGCGTTCATTTTTAATACCTTGAGCCTAAAATTTTGTATATTTGTATGTCATCTTTGCTGCTTGCTTCCAATTGATATTCTTTGCTGCAATGTCATAGTATAAGACTTAGACAAGAGGTCACCTATTTGCATTTTATGCTTTAAAATGTTCTAAGAAACTGTTTACGTTGAAATTTGCGTTTTTCTCTTTAACCTCAAAAGTGTACTGAACGACTAAAAGTCAGAGGCGCAATTAAACGGGCTCAGGCACTAGTGTTCTTATTAAAAATATACATAAAACTGTTTGAATTTTTGAAATATATATTTGGATAAGAAGGATGTCACGCCACTACTGATAAAGGAAAAAGGTTACTATGAAAAATTCAAACCGTGAAAGTGCTTTGCAAAATAACCAAGACTTTTTCAAAATTTTACATTCCAATGGCGCCAGCCGTTGACGCCTGCCTGATTTGCCTTACAGACGCTCTGTCAAATGAACTGACGCGTAATGAATCTTTAATATCTGCCATTTATCTAGTATTTATTTTCAATGTGAGAATCAGGGTAGTCTTCAGTCTGCGTGCAAGCATGTCCAAAACTAGAGCTTACAATTTAAAGGAGATTTCGATTTAAATATATTTCTCAAGGTATTGATTAGCCTGCAGCATTTCGCTTAATGCAGTTATTCATAGAATCGCCTTTTAAAAGACGATGTTATACAGGTACTGGTTGAGCCAATGGTCCGACCTGAACTATTTTCAATAGCATTCGTCTTTGAGTCAAAATCAAATTCCATCAAAATATCTTAAAAATTGTAGGTTAAACGCAAGAAAACAATGTAGACAGACGGACAGACAAGTTTAGATCATAAGGTGATCTAAGAAAAGGTGGGTATATCTTAAGTCCTTGCGGGTGTTGTGGTTGGCTATATATCTGCACAAACTTAAATCCTTATATCAAAACATGGTGCAGGTTATAAAAATGATAGAGACTTACTTTTCACAATCAACCGATAGGTCCGCAATCAGAAAAATACACACATTTCATGTGTTGTGCTGCTGGAGGACAAAAATAAACTTCTTACGTATTTTTAAATTTTGGCAAACAAGAGTCTGCTTGGAATTTGTTATCATAAACTAAAGTCCTGTGATGTGACAATTTTCTGTCTTTTTCTATTTTTATTATTACTATGGGAAAAAACCTCTATACGCGTACGCATGATAATAGAACAAGAACAGAAGGCTTATAGGTAGAGAAATGGCGGAGGACAAGTGAGCATGAGAATGGTTAATGATAGGACGGGAATTGTCAACATATTTTCATCTCAAAGATAGTCTCCTTCTCCTTTCTAGCTCAACCAAAGAAAACCTGAACCGAATCAATATCTAAATCAAATTCGAAAACTTTTACAAAATTTATAGAATCTATCTGCGTTACATTCAAAACGACAAATTCATTATACTCGCATACTTTAATGGCAGCATAAAAATTACGATCTGATAGCAAATACGCAATATTTATATTTTTTTTGAAGCTTTTACCGAACGAAGCACTGTAATGAAGTTGTGGAAAGGGAAGGGTTTACATCGCTTATTAAGGCATAACTTCAATAATTTTTAAGTGGTTGTTATGATTGGCGGCGGCGGTGACGGTGTAAATCTCTTGCAAATGAGATTTCAAATGTTAAAAAATATAAGTAAATAAATAAACAAAAAAAGAATGAACAACAATAACAAAACCAGTTAGACTTGTGGTAACATCTTTGGCAAATGTACGCTAACCAACAATTTGATATTTGAATATATATTTTTTTTCAAACATTGCTGAGTAAATTGTTTATAATAAAAATAACCTTTAATTGAAACGTGTGCTGGTAGACTAAAATATTTTGCTTTAATTTTTTATTATACTAACCTTCAAATCGACGCAACCTTTTAGTAAACCTTCTTCGATCGATTTGATTTTATTGGCCGATAAATCTAAAGTTTTTAAATTTTTCAACGGATGAAGTTCTGCTGAGGAAAATATTGGATTTAAGCTATCGCCTAAAAGATTGTTAGATAAACGCAAAACGGTTAGACTTTCTTTAAGGCCGACAAACGATTTTTCTGGCAAGCGTCTTATCAGGTTATACGATAAATCCAGCTCCTCCATCGGCAACTTTAAAGTACCAAAATGCTGTTATGTGAAAGAAATAGAGAAAATATATATATTATACTTTTATACTATATATATATATATTTTTGCATGAAATACTGCCGCCCACATTTCGCTTGTAATAATATAATAATGAATTTTTTTTTTAATTTTGATTTAAGATAAGAAAATATTTTCGCTTTCTTCTTCAAAAATTATTGCTTTGTGTTACGGTTTTTATATTTTCTTTATAAATATTTTCACTAAGAGTGAAAGTGCTTTTATGCAATGACTAAACACACGTACGTATTAATTAAGTACTTATGTCACTCATACTTACTCGTAAGCCTAATGAGATTATAGGAATAAATGAGTGAATGAATGGAGGAAAAAATCTGAGAGTGAAAAACTTTTAATACTTTGTCTTAAGTTATAATTATATAAATAATAAAAAATAATTATAAAATATTATAGTATAAAATACAAAATAATTCTATAAATAACAGGAGGTCAAGATGAAAAGTCTATGCGGATTCGTGAAACAGGCAAGGGCAAGGTCATACCTTAAGAAAATTCAAGCTTAACTCAGACTGTAGGATTTTAAAGCTTCTATTCGTCTTCAATAGCTGGTCAAGGTAATATTTTTTTCTTTTTTTTTTTTGTAACCATTGATCATATAAATCATGAAATCCTTCAACAAAAAGTGTCAAACTACCATCTAGCATCCGCATTCATAACATCAATTTCAAACGGGTAAATAACAATCCACATCACGGCCCTGCCCGCCTGAGACCAGGAATAAACCATTACCCTGGGATCGGAGTGACTATTTCTCTTGATTATTCAGAGTTTCATAGGCGACAGTTTTTCAAAATTGTTTGATTTAAAATCCCATAATCAATGTTTTCGCTTTGTACGATCCATAGCTGCGAGCCTTCTACTTTTTGCTAATCAAATGCTATCGCCCTGATAGCTGAAAAATGCCAGCAAATTTAAGATAAGACCTCTTGCTGAGATACTCTATCTGCGCATTGTTCGAAGATTTATGAAATAGTTCGTAAAATTAAAAGCATTTCTGAGCTGAGCAGAAACATATTGATTATAGAAATTCTTTGCTCTCAAATAATTTGGATAAAAGATTCGAATGACTTGTTGCCGAAGATGAGGCTGCACATCTAATACTTTTCATATTCCAGATATTAAAAAAAACGTGCCCGAAAGTCGTTGAGCTTGTTGCTTCAAAGCAAATGAAGGCGACTTCTCTCGCCCAAAGTGTTAGAAAAAATATTTTATGAGATTCATCCGGAAGTTTTCTTACCAAGACTATTTAGTGAAGAGCATAATCAGTGGAAAGCTGACTACGCTACAAACGAAATGAAAGATCCTTTTTCTTGTTGGTGCGTTGGTATCTTGCAAGCACTTCTTATCTCTTTTTCCACTTCTTCCGGATCATCTTCGTGATACGCGTGTAGGAGAACATTATCCGGCTGATTGGTCATTTAAAGAAAAACGAAAAGCCTAAAATCTCGGTACCATCAACATTTCAGATTTTTCCTTCCTCCGACATCAATTAATGGAGCAAAAATGATTCTTTTTTTTTTTTATAAATAGCCGCTAAAAGCGAGTTTACGGATCCTTCTACCAAGGGCGAGGAAGACGTTGACTTTAAAAAGCGGTTTACATTTTTGAACTTAAAAATTTCATCATTGCCTTTTCGTTTTACCCTCGTATTGCTTTTCTGTTTCATTAATTAATTAATATGAAATCAGTAAAAGTGATTTTTTTCATATTTTTTGTCATCATAACAATACTCTATTAAAGGTTATGCGAAGTGTTCATATACGCGGGAAAATTATGGAAAAATAATTACAAGTTTAGTATAATTACATATTTTATTTATTATAAATATTTGTTCGTTTTTTTTTTTTTTCTCATTTTGGTTTTTTTATTCATTACTATTATTTATTATAAGCCTACAGGCACGAAAATTCATCATTACTTACCTGCGATGGTAAGACTTGCTGGCCACTATAACGTTGCGAATAAGAGACTATAGGGGCACCGTATGGTAGTTGAGGAGCTTCACCATGAAATACCACTCGATCACAATCCATTGCCACTGCACCTAATTGTCCCGTTGTGCTGAATGCCACGACGTTGCATCTATAGAGGAAGAGAAAAAGACAAATTAAAGTAAAGGAAAAAAGTTACACGGAAATAATGCAAAACAATAATTATTATTCACAAGGTGAAGAGGAAGAAGGAGAAGAAGAAAGATAAAAACAAAGGAAGAAAAAATGAATTTCAAAACCAAATTCGCCTTAAGTCGAACTTAAGATGCCTTCGTCGACCTACCAGTCTTCCTGCCTATCGTCTTCGACGATAAGGACAATAATAGTCTGATTTGTTCTTTGTCTGATCTGAGTGCTAGATAACTTTAAGAAATTTTAACTTTCTGGTCTCTTCAAGTTTTCATTTATTAATCACTTTCAATTATCCTTTCTATTTTCAATCCGTGACTTCTTAGGGAAATTTGCGATCTTTCTTTTTATTCTCTTTAATACAAACTATTTTGAGAAATGGACCTGGTTGGCCAAGCGTGCGCATAGACGACATAAATGTATTGCGGCCGTTTCATAAAAGTTAGAGCGTAATTTCAGATCAACGTTTGCAAAACTTATTAATGAATATAAAAACCATTTCAGATCGATATCTGAAATATTTCAAAGGCTTACAATGAAAATGCAAAAAATCTACTCCAAACCTTAACTTCTGATGATTAACAGGCCTCTTGTAGTCTTTCTCGTCCTCTTTTATTCAGTTATGCTCTAGCTTAACAGATCTTATGAGAAAAAAGGCTTATGTGAACTGAATTTAAGATAGAAAGAGATATGAATGATAATCTTTATGCTAATCTCTATGCGTTATTTTCGACACAGTTCTTATTTCTTTCTTCTTATTATTATTATACTTTGCACCACTTGTGATGCAAGGGTACATTAAGTTGCAAGCAGCGTTTTAAGCTTGTCTGTCCGTCTATCTATCTGTCTGTCCATCTTATTTTCTTTTGTTCACTCTGCAAGCCGCAATTTTCAAGATATTTTGTTTGCAAACTGGGACATCGGCGAATTTTGGACCAAGGAACGAACGGTATCGAAAATGCTTCTAATTGCACCAGTTTTTCAATAGCTTGCGATAACAAGCAGGGTAGTGTACGGTAATAAATAGCGGGGTCACTGTAGTGTTTTATACAGTGTGTAGGCTAACAGACTCTTTTCGTCATTACTTGAAGGAATAGCTATCTTCCTTATCTTCTTCTTCTTCAAATTTTTTAACTAATAGTCCAACAAAACTATTTGTCATACAAACTCAATGTGTCAAGGCTGCACTACATAAGCGCATTCTTCGGACGCATTCACATCCAAGTATGACCGAAAGGTACAATATTTAGTCTTTAATGACAACATAAGATCTTTACAACAATAAAGATCTTTAGCAATGCAAAATTCAATCTTACCGTGTACCTAGATCATGTTAGGTCAAGTTTTGTAGGTCCTTCCATATAAGAGTTCTTGTGAAAAGCATCTGATAGTAAGGTATGGTTTACGCGATGTTACAATGAAAAGTAAGTGAGGAATTGTATTCGGCCAAGATATTAAATATATTGAATGGTCGAGCATGCCCAACTACAAAATTTTAATTTGTTCGCTATAGCGATTTATATTGACAGTCCACAGTCAAGCAGCAAATAGTATAACTGACATTTGTCAAATTGCCGTCAAAAAAGTGAGAAGGGTCTTCAATAAACAACTATGCTATGTGGATAGAGGATAGAGTATCTTTATGCAAAACTTGCTTTGTTCCTCCGTTAGTTTTTCATTAAAGTTTCCCAACTTAATCAGAAAGTAATCCATTAACTTATTGATTACGTTTTCTTTTCAGAACTTATGACCCTTCGAGCAATTCTTGCGGTATTTTTAAAATTAACTCTAACAAGAGACCGTGACAAGCTAAACACCTGGCCGAGGAACAACTTCAATGAGAATGCTATATGCACAATACTAGTTACTAGTTACAAAGACTAACAACCTACTATTTACAGGTTTGTTCTCACAACCACATTACTTGTATACTGAGATATATGGAAAAACAACCAGCGACAATACTGCAGATCTTAAGGGCAATGATAAATGAAATGATGATTTTACTTTAATTACCGGCCAATAGGGTTCATAAGCACACATTTAAAAGACATATTTTAAGTGATAATGATTTATCGCTTCTAGATGATTGATGAGTAGTTACGAAAATTTTGACTATACAATTCTAAGCGTTTTTATAAGCAAGTACAACCCATTTTTCAATACAATCTGTAAAATGATATATGTAACGATTTTCTTGAATTTTTTATACTTCATTTTAATTTTTGCAATCTTCTGACATCACGCACGAACGAAGGAACAATCGGAGAGAGAGAGAAGAATTCGGTTAACTCTGTCGTGCGGAGATCTTGCAACACGAACCTATCTTTCTAATTGTAACAAACGATATGAAAAACTTATGCTGCTCCTATTCATTTAGCTTGGCGAGTGGAAAAACGTGTTCAATTGCAAATCAATCGGCTATAAGCGGAAATTATTTATTTTATGGTATATTTGTTGTTTGCAATAATTCTAAGAATTGTTTTCTCCGCCTGTTTTTCTTTTTATAGGCTCGTTAAATAACATTTGTGATAATATGCGCTGATGGTAATGAAGATGGCGCGATGATGACTGAGGGGAGAAAAACAAGTCTTCAATTTATTTATGTAGGCATTGATGCACACTCACCTGCAGGGTATACGCAATGCTGGACTCAATTCTGGACATGGTCGCCATGCCTTGATTTGTGACAAGTAGAGCAACAGCAATAGAAATACATTACGATGGAGACTTGTTCGTTGCTGTGGTATGTGTTGATGTCGTTGTTTGCAATCGGGAAAAAACATCTGAAATTCGAAAGAGAAAAAATATATAGAAATGAATGCAATGCGAACGAATGTAAAACGCAAGAAAAGAAAAAAACGCGATTTATTATAAATTGTTCGCTGCCTTTTCTTAATTGGTTAAGTGAAGGATAATTTAATGGAAAAATACAAGTGCCTGCCTGCAAGGTGTTCTTTTATGTCAAATCCATCTTTGTTTCTTGCTGTTTTCCTCTTTTTGTTATTTATTTATTTTTTGTGATTTTATTTAATGCGCGCTTACGGTACATACTGCAAGCAACCATGCATTGATGGACATGTTTTTCAAGATCAAGTAGCAAAAAATGGTCAGCTTTGCAATTTTTTTAGTTTACATAAATCATAAGCAACAAGTCAAAAAACTGTAGTAAGCCATTGTCCACCATTATATACCCTACACCACTTCGCTTACTACATTTATTCATACGACGACTTTTTCAAAATGCAGCTTGATGATCCGAGCCGAAACGTTTTCAATTAGCGCTCGCGTCCTTGGGCCAAAACGTTCCGATGTATTAAATTTATCCAAAAATTGCAACGTCTACGTTCAACACAAGAGAAGGAGATGGATAGACGGAGAGACAAGTTGAGATCGCTTGAGAAAGTGATACGTGTACCTTACTCAATTCCTTCGTATTGTTGTACATATCCAGGCAAACTTAGTCAAGCCTTGTGTACGACAAATGGTGTAGGATAGGATATAAAAATGTTTAAAAAGATTACTTCTACGACGTTTGTATTATTATTAATGACTATAGATTTTTCGTTTGGTTTGCTTTTTATTTTTATTTTATTTCTTTTAGTTTAATTCAAATATTTAACTAAATTAAGAGTTTTACTTAATTATACGTTTATTGTAATTTGCTTTTCGCAACGACAATGAAATTTAAAAAAATTAATCTTATTAAACTGACTAAGTGCGGCAATGGTCTTCAAGCTATCACTCATTGTTTTTGTGTTTTGTAATTAACTGAATAAAAACTTTGCTTTGATTTGAATAAATTTTGCGTTGATTTCGTGGGAATGAAAAATGAAAAAAGATAAAAATACCTTACATTCGATTTCGTAACATTCTCTTAAGTTGTCATGATTAATAGTAACGGAAAGCTAAATAAATTTCTGCTCAAAACTAAGAAAAATTCATTCTTAACTAGCACGCCATTGTTACTGCTGATTAAAATTATAGCATTATATGGTTATATAATGACTTGTAACCAATAAGGTCCGAGTGTATAAATTAATAAATCAAGTGTTGTACACTTTATACTCTGTGTGTGCAACACAAAACTTGCAAAAATTTTTCCTCCATTTTTAATTTCACCTTCGCATGAAAAATTTGCCTTAAATGACTTTTTACTGTAAATGAAAAAATTCCGTTATCCTTCTCAAAGGGAGAACCACAATATCAGAATATGATCAATTTTTGTTATTATATTTCTTTTTGTTAAGGAATTGCGTGCAGCATCCGTACAGCGAGGCTTGATTCACACCCATGCATACGCATCTAGCTTGCTTTCGTTTATGCTATTTAGCGTAAAGATCCTGACGTGCTATATATAGCTCAATTTGTTACGAACAGCTTTTTTCGCCAACGCACTTTTCAAAACTAATCTTTTCGATACTAGTGCCAATTCAAAATTAACGGATTTTTCTTGTTTTTATTTTTGTTATTTTTAACTTTACAACCTTTACTATAAAATTTTTAATATTTTTCTATTACAAAAATATTTTTAAAGATAATTTTTGTGTCTTCAATAGTGCGTTTGCACATCCATTTAAACAGCTTCCGACATTTTCAATTTTCTATCTGTTGTCGCTCTCATTCGTATATTCATTCATACATCAATTCATAAACTCATTCGTAAATTCGTAAATTCATTTATACATGCGTTCACCCACTTGTGAATTCAATCGTTCATATGCTCATTCATACATTCGCCCATATAGCCAGTCATACATTCATTCATATATTTATTCATCACTCATATATTTATTCATACATGCACCCATATATCCGTTCATACATTTACTCAAATATTCATTTATATATTCTTTTACACGTTCATTCAAGCATTCATTCATCGATTCATTCATAAATTCATTCATATATTTAATCATGTATTCATTCGTATACTCATTCACACATCCCCTCACATACTCATTCTTACATTCATTCGTGTTTTTATTTATATATACATTTACACATTCACTCATACATTTATTTATATATACACTCATATATTCATTCATACATTCGCTCAAATATTCATTTCTATATTCGTTTACACGTTCATTCATACATTCATTTTTTCATTCATACATCCATTCATTCATTTTTTCATTCATACATTCATTCATTCATTCGTTCGTTGAAAAAAGTTATTGATTTTGATAGTCTTTCTAGTCTTTCTTTCCATTCTCTTGGCCACATATATATCGTTTAATATACGTAATTGTTTACATTAGATAAATGATTGATTATTTGTCTCTTTCAACCGTCGAACCTCGGACGACAAAGTGTATCTTAGCAATTTGTAATTAAATTACGACATATCTACAATCAATTCTAGTGCTGCCTGTAGTTGAATTCTTTTATTTACAATTAAAGGGGCACTTGTCAATGAAATCATAGTGCAATTGACATACATAGAGGAAGTACCGCTTTGCATTGTGTTTTCTAATGTTAATGCAAGTAAAGCATTGCGGTATGATTATATCAGCCCTGATACATATGTACTTGATATGTATAAATGAAAACTGCATTTTTAAAAGGAGTCAAGCCCTTTAACAACGTCTGCGGAAAACTTCATAACATTTCGATTGTTTCTTTTTTTGTTTTGCAAATTAACGAGTTCTAGAAGGTTTAGCGTCACTAGTTTCAAAAATGAAGTTTAGCTATATAAAAATTGAATGGAAGAACAATTTTCATGAATTAACGTACAGGTGGAATGTTGGAAGCGTGAATAGCATGAACTCTTCTCAAGGTTAATACATTTTTGCTTCGTTTGTTTGGACTCTATTCAGTTTCAGTTATCCCTTGTTGAGCCTAACAGTCGTAACAGTCTAAAACACATCACATGGACATGGTAGCATTTCTTTTTCGTTTTGTAGTTTTCATTATTTTAAAATTTAGTGAATAAAATTATTTCATAACAAAAACAAATAAGAACGTTATAGACGGGCGACGTCGACTATTACCCTATACCAGTTCGGCCAGCGCAGTTATTTGCTCGGTTTGATAATAATACACCAAAACGCACATATTGTTTCCATGCAAACCCATAATTTCATCATGAAAGCCCCCTTATTGGAAGATTATAGTTTCTCTCCATGTAAGTGTTTGCATTTCGTGATATCGCCAATACAAAAAAATAGACCTGCGTGATCCCAATTCGCTACTGTTATTGCTTAATTTTCAAAATGAATCCTTTTTCGGAAGGGCTTACCACTTATTAGATATGTTATAAAGACTGGGGCCAAGAAATAAGCTAATTATTATCGTAAACAAATTTTTATCACAAAAAAATTAACAATTAAGCTGTTTCGGAATATAAGGATACACGTTCTATCAGAATCTTTATATGTGATGGCATCCAAAAAATGGACCTACTTGGTCCAAATTCGGTAAGTTAGATGAGCCAACTTCCACCATGAAATATTAGAAATGAGACCTTTTTACCATATAAATCTTCAATTTCCGTAGGAATGGTTATATGACAGGGGGTTCAAAAAATGTCCCAGCCGGTTCATTGGGGTTACACCCCAATTTAATACTAATACTAATTTAAATACTCATATTTAGTCACATTTTTTTTGTAGTGGTCGAGAAAGTGGACCGATTCGATTCTGAATCGATCTGTACAATAAAAGGTGGCTCTATCTGAAGCTCTTCTGCGTGTTACATATTTCCATACTAACTTAACCTTTACAACAAATGGTGTAGGGTACAACGAAGAATTCTATAGCGACTATCGGCGCGCAAAAGCGATGACAACGAAAGCACACGGTTTTCTCTTATGACTAGTGACCGATCGCAAATTCCAAATACGGCTCTGAGTTGTGATTAAAAAATTTAAATCGACTGCCGCCATATTTACAGGTCATGGTCAAGTTTGAAAATTAGTTTAACTCCCGCCTGCAATTGTCCAAAGCTAGTAACTTTCAGTCTGTGCAAAATGCTGGATATGCTAAGTTTCCCCTTCAAAATTCGAGATTTTTTCCAATCCAAGTGCCTTTCTTTTCTTTTTGTTTATTTGTTTTTTGCAATTTTACAGAGAGTGTTGCTAATTTTCTCGGTTTCTATTTTTATAAAATTCTTTCGTCTATTTTATAACATTTTTCAAAGTTGTTTACCTTAAGATTACCATCTCGTTAAAATTCCAACACATTAACGGCTTAAATTTAGAAAACGTTTTATTGTCCGGCATGAAATTTTGCACTTGTCCGTGTCTAAGCGATTTTTTCTTTATTTCAAATAAATTTTTATTTAACCAAGTGTTGCGCTTGAATTGTAAGATGAGTATAATTACTGTAAAATTATTACCTCAAGCGCAACAAACGTTCAGTAAACAGATTAAACCACTGCTACGAAATAGTTGCATATTAAATAAAAATAACTGTATTTAAAAAAAAAAAAAGCAAAAAAAAAATGTGTAAATACACAATATTCAATCATAACTATTATCATCTCGTCGAATAGCGAAATGTATGCGATTATGGGCGCTATGTGCTATGAAAATTAATATTCATGATTAGTGTTGTTTTTTTTCTTTTCTTATAAAAGAAAGCAAGAAAAAAATAATCTTCAACTTTTTCATATATCGTTTATATATCATTTTATTACATGTTAATTGTGCGCTCTTTTTATACCCATCAACGAAGCATGGGGGATATATTAATTTTGTCAAAACGTATGCAACAACCAGAAGTGAGCTTCAAATATCGCACAAAGTACTTTCGCACATTTGTATCAAATTCTCAGTTGA